ATATATATATATATATATATATATATATATATATATATATATATATATATATATATATATATATATATATATATATATATATATATATACCTATAGAGCGTGTTGTCATTTGCATCAGCATGACCGTAGAGATTTGTGTATGAATCGCGTTGTTAAGAACACTAGTGTCTCTCACATTGAAGTCTCCTTTGTAACCGAATCGAAAGATTTTACATGTGCCGATGTATTTCAACGATCGTTTAACGATCGAGTCGCAGGGAACGCCAAAGGTTTCGTGATCCGAGGTATCGGTTTCATATTCGAAATTATGGGATATCCTTGATCGAGATCACTCGTCGATCGAATAAAAGGAAAAAAAATAACACGATTAAACGAGCCTCCGCTGTTTCCTGTGCTCAACATTCTTCCTTTTATTCGACCCGTTGCAGCTAAGAAAGTGTTCTCGTCGTTCTTTTTAATCGATTCCTCTCATGAAACACGCATCTTTCGATCTGCCGAACGTTCAATCTGAGAAACGAAGTATCATCGCGGACACGCGTTGATACCGGGCAACGAAACGATTCACAGGATGCATGCATGCGTGCACGTGCTACACAAGTTATACGATCGAAGTGGCTATGCTTTAAGTAACGCTTGTTCGATACGTTTTAATCCGTGTTTACCTCGACGGAAAAGAGCAAAAGAGAAGAGAAAACATTCCTGACATTCGAACAGAGCGCGAGCAAAGAAATCCGATAGCCATAGAAGTATATTTTGTAAGTCGGTCGGGTGATTTTTCAAGCTTGTTCGTTTAAATCGTATATATCTGTACAGGCTCAATTATTATTTAAGACGATCATTTCGAAATTAAGTCTTTTATGTTAATGTTAAGTCCCCCTGTATCTTTTTTCTATCAATGAACACGTTTTCCCAAGGATTGCTTCGCTCTCGGATTTTTCATTTCTTTTTGTACATATATCTCTAGAGAAAAATCTATACGATCTTGGTTTTCCAACACACACACACACACACACACGTACACGAGGAAACTCCGTGCAGAGAACGCTAATTGTAAATATAACGTGTGCGCAAGGCTCCTCGGACACAATGAACCGCCCCAGTCATGGATTTGTTAATGCGATTTATGTTTCGGAATGGCTGACGAGGTTCATGTTTATTCCACTACTATCGCACGTGTCTCTATGTACCGTGTTTATCATTACGGAAACGTGAATCATGTTGTTCGCCCGATTATACTCACACTCGAGTGACTCGCATATGTATGTATATATATACACGTATACATATACATATACATATATACAGGAAATTCGACAATTTCCGAACCAAACTTTAGCAGAGTGTTCTACCACGAAAATAGACGGGACGATGGAAGAAGCACAGCGGATGTAAACGTAGTGGCCTTGATTCAACTTTTCACTGTGTCTCGCGCGATTGAAGTCATTCCTTCCAAAACAGCACCACTCGACTAATCAACGTTCCGGGAAAATCAATCTTCCTTTTCATCTTCGTTCATTATCTATTTTACTGATTCTCTGCAAGCATCGGTCATACGTTTCCGTTACGTGCGCCATTTTTAATATTACCATATAGATCCGAGTAGTCCAACAGTTAAATCGGTAACTCGCGTGGATAACGTTAAAAAGTGGATTCGTACTGTTTTGGAATTCAGGACTTCAACATCATCCCTCGAATCACGATTGTTTTGACTTATTTCAACGTCTGCACGACACCATCCTCCACTCGGGCGTAGAAAACACTATTAAAGCTCGAAAAATTGTCGGACACCCTCTGTGCACCTTGCAAGCATAACCGATCGTCTAAACCTGGAATCGCGAACGTTCCTCGCTTCCAGACGCGCGGCGGACATTCTAAAAAGGAAAATGTCAAATTCGATACTGCAAGATACTCAGAGAAACTCGTTTTTTCCACGTTGAATCGTTCACAGCGCTAGGAACCGCGGAACTGTTCGCGAATCCAGTGTCAGGTGATTTGCCTTGTATACAGACGTGCGTGGATGCGTATATACATATAAATAAAGCATATATAATTCATATAAAAAAATATATATATTATATATATATATATGAATTATCGAAAAATATTGGACACGCGTGGCAACACGCACGCGCGATTGTTAAAATTGTGTTGCGGTGTCCTAGATCGAGCGTCGATCGCGACATGCAAATGAGACGCGTTTGTTGCGGCGCTGCAGAGATTTATTCCGGTAAATCCTTTGTCGTATGCCTTCGTTGCTTTCTCACACCTGCGTGCAACAGGGTTAATGTAAAAATTCGACAGGGACGCGACGGCGAGCGGAGGTCACGATTTAAATCGGAGCGGTGACAGCTCTGCGAGCGTGGGCCCTTTCTCGATGAACACCGAAGCCTTTTTCGTAGCCATTTCGCCCGAGACATTCGTCCCGCGCGATCGAAACGAATTACACCGAATTAGCGTCGAGTCTAGAGTTCATCCCGAGCACCGTGTAATTTAATCTGTATCGTCTGTAAGCATCTCCGTCTTCGTTTTTCAGCTCCCGTACTAGCCAAGTGACATTCAGCCGGTCCCAAAAATATTTTCGAGTTCCATATAGAAGAAACTCCGATGGATTCACTTTAAATTGCAATTAGGTTCGTCAAGCCAGTTGATCCCTTCGCAGTTACGCGCACGACAAATCCAAAATCGAACGTTTCATGTGTTACAACCTAATAGAACGCGCGGCTCCGACGATTCCGCGTCACACCTCGTTCGTTTAGTGCCAAAGCGTGAACGTCACAGTCTCGTCTACGACATTTGAAAGTACGTGAAACACCACGGGGTCCATGAATCGCGCGGCGACGCCGCGTAGGAGGAGCGTCGCGCGAGATTCGCCTAACCTAACGAACGTCCTGGAACACGCGGTTCCGCGTCGCGGCGTCGT